CCCCCCCGCCCATGATGCCATTTAACTGTTTGTGTGTGTTCTTTCATGTGTGTCTATTTTTGTGAGAATATTAATTGATTTGATAGTCTACTGTTCTTGTGAGGACATTTTACCCTTGTGAGAATATATTTTGCAAGGTCCACACAAGGGACCACCCCATTTGTGGGTCAGGGGTTAGGTTTGGGGCTAAGGTATGTTTAAGTTAAGGTTAGGTATGGTGTTTAGGTTTAGGTTAAGAGCTAGTGTAAGGCTAGGTAAATGACAAGTAAAATAATGGAAGTCAAAGCACGTCCTCACAAGAACTGGAAAAACGTTTCCCACCTTTCTCCATCCTCCTCTTCCTGCTCCTTTGTGCTGCAGGCGCTGTTTTCTCCTCCTCATGTTCTGGCTTTCCCCACAGCTGACAGTCTACCCACAGCTCCCCCGCGTGTGAGTAATATGGATTTTTTTTCCTGAAAGTTAAGTATTTTTGATAGTTATGATATACAGTAGGTAAACATCTGAAGGAGCTGACATGTACAATCTTGACAGTAAATCTTATACAGTTGGAAAGGCCTGTTAATTTCTCTTTTAAATGGTGCCACATCTGTAAGGATCATGCATTTGTAGGATGAGCAGTAGAGCTGACTATGTGGGTTGCACACATGAAAAATCTCTGATGAAATTGTTATTGACACTCGTTTTGAGCTTCTGGTACCCCCAGCTGCTGCCAGTCAGATGCTCATCAGATTTATGGCCAAGAAGCATTGTTACAACAAAGAAATAATCTACCAAACATTAATGTCCTCACTTTTTGTGCCAAGAAGTACCCTTTTTAATTGTGATTTCAATATTATTTCTTGTTATCAAACGACTATTTACATTTTATTTTGAGAAAACAAGCTTTATTCTCACAAAATCATAAAATTATTAACTCATTTTCTCAAGAATGTTTTATAGAAATACATTTCCAGAGATATCTCATCTCATTTTCTATAGATTTTTAATTACACCGCTCAATCGTTTTGAAATGTTTGCAAATAATTTATTAAAATCAGTCAGAATAACTCAACAATTTATATACGTTTTAGATCTTTTACTCACTTGACATTTTAAAATGCACAACATGTAAGTTACCAGTGAAGATCAGCTTTAAACTACTTATTTGTGTTTGGTTTTCAAAACTCACTTTCAAACAAAAGAGCTACTGTAAAAGTTGAAACAAAAGAAGCTTAAAACACAATAAATGTGAGTGAAAAGATTTTTCAAAGTGATGTCTTGTCTTGAGCTGTACACAAAAACAAAACAACACAACGTGGTCTTCTCTATAATCATCATATAAATGCTGTCAGGTTTATTTGTCATCTGTTTAGTTTTATTGTTTCAAATCATAAAGGAACACCAGCAGCAAAAGCAAAAGCAGCAATAAGACAAAAGAGAGAAGGCTTTAAAGTATGAAAGTCATCTGATTAAAAAAAAAAGAAAATTATAAAGTGGAGGATTTAAAAGTGAGAAAACCCTGTGTGCCAAATTACTGCAACACAATCTTTGGATTTTATTGCAGCGAATATTAAAAGAACCTAAACTTCTAGTGAAATGTGGAAAAGAAACAGTTGTTTATTTCGGTTTTATATAACCTCAAAGCCACTTTCTCAACAACTTCTTGTTTAGTTAGAATTCTTCATCACACATCACATTTCCTGTTTGTGTCATCTTCCTCTTTCAAATCTTTTCTCATTAAATAAAATGATTGCATGTTGGATTTAAAGATAAATGGGTCAAAACTTTTATTTGATTTATTTAAGAACTGAAGTTTAAACACATTCTGAGTTAGTTTATAGCAGCAGATGTGACGGGTTATGGCCACAGATTAAATCTTCATAACCCAAGTCCACATGTTAATTTCCTTCCTATTTTTTTAAACGGAACTGAAAGCTTTTGTGAGATGCTGCTCTATCTGGCCTGGAGTGTGTGCGGAAAGAGAAAATCATTTTATCCTGTCTTCAGAAGATGTTTACGCGATATCCTACACACATGCGAGGACTTTCTRTGGCTTTCCTTCTGATCCTGATCCAAGGTAAGTCAGCATTCTGGGCTGGTTCTGGCTTTTTCTGTTTGTAGTGTTGATGTGTGGCTCTGTAGGTGTTTGTGTGTTTGATCTCATCGTTTGCCATTTTTTTAGCATCTTCCTGCAACATTGTCACTGGTCTGACTGGGCAGAATGTGACTTTGCCCTGCACATATGATGCTCAAACTAAAGGAGTCACAAGTTTCTGCTGGGGACATGGGAAGGTGCCATTGATCCAGTGCTCCAACAGAGTCCTCGCAGTCCAGGARGGGTATGTGGTCTTCAGGAAGTCCCCCAGGTACCAGCTGCTGGGACGGGTCACAGAGGGTGTCATCTCCCTGACCATCCTGAACGTTCAGAGGAGTGATGCTGGTGCGTACGGCTGCAGGGTGGAGTTCCCRGGCGTGTTCAACGACCAGAAGGTCAACATAGACCTGATGATAGAAGATGGTAAAAGCACGAGAAACAATATCATCATGATTTCTAAAAAGTTAAAGAATCAGACTGTTTGGTTTTACTTCACCAGCTCCTGTAGAACAACCTGAAGTAACAACAAAAGTGTCGACAGCGGAGAGAATTCACACAGATGAGGTAAGGTGATGAGGCTTTAAAAAGACAAATAAACAAATTAAAAACTAAAGAAACTACAACTTTGTTTCTGCTTTATAAAAGTACTGCCCCATAATAATTAATAAATGCTTTATAGAATGTTATTCATAAAACAATAATGAAATATCAGTTGATCAAAAATATCAATAACTTACTTTTATTTTATGCTGCTGAGTTGAACATGTTGCTTGTTACTTCATTAAATTTAATTAAGCAATGATGATGATGTTGATGATGATGATGATGATGATGATGATGATGATGATGATTGATGTTCTTATTATTATCATCACAGTCGTGATGTGTGGACAATCATGTAAATTACCTGTGTGTGGGTGGGGTGTCTGTTTGAAAAAAATCTCATGAACCATTCAACAGATTTTACTGAAACTGGGGATCACTACAACTGATTAAAAACTCAAAGTGACTGCCAAAGATAATTATAGCAAAAAGGTAGTAGAAGAAGAAGAAAAAGAAGAAAAACATACTTTTACAATAATGAMCTAKAGTTCAGTGTGGTAGTAGCTGAGCATCATCCCCAGCACACATTCAGATGTTAGTTCTCATCTTTATTTAATTATTTAAAACTTTACCATACAAGGCCTAACAGCCCTACAGCTCTGTAGTAAAATGTTTGATTTGAAAATTRAGCTGATAAAGAGGAGACGAGAACATGTTAGCAGAGTGTGGAGTCAAATGTAAGCTCACTATTAGACAAGAAATGACCACATTTTATTTATTTGGTATTTTGTAGCTGCTAAATAGGGATCTATACCATCCATCCATCCATCCATCCATCCATCCATCCATCCATCCATCCATTCATCCATCCATCCATCTGTCCTTTAGTCCATCCATCCATCCATCCATCCATCTGTCCATCTGTCCATCCATCCATCTGTCCATCCATCCATCTGTCCATCCATCCATCCGTCCATCCATCCATCCATCCATCAATCCATCCATCTGTCCTTTAGTCCATCCATCCATCCATCTATCCATCATCCATCTGTCCTTTAGTCCATCCATCCATCCATCCATCCATCCATCCATCCATCCATCCATCCATCCATCCATCCATCCATCCGTCCTTTAGTCC